AAGTGTGGTTTGAACGATCGGGACTTACATTTCTAACGATGTGAAGTGTAATTTACGAGTTAGGAATGCATATCAAACAACAATCTCATAGTTCCACCTAGTTTTCCTACCCACAAGAGACCAATTCTATCTTGTCCAAGATTACTTTAATAAAGTCAAACCTGGATAGTTAATTGTATTTTATCAAAAACAAAGAGAAGGAAAGTTAAGAATTAATTTAGCCAATCATTTCCTTTTAGGTCAACACGGTCAGTTGTGTCCTTCCAAATCAATGTGATCGATCACGTTTTCTTACTAAGTTGATATGGTCGATCATGTCCCCGCGAATCGATGTGGTCGGTCACATCCCTTTAAATCAAAATGGTCAATCGTGTTTTCTTATTAAATGGACATGGTCGATCATGTCCTTGTAGAATCGATGTGGTCGGTCACATCCTTCAAATGAACGTGGTCAATCACGTCCCTTCACATGAACATAGCTCGTCACGTTCACTTGACATGGTCGATCATGTCCCTACAACATTAATGTGGTCGCTCACATTCATTCAAATCAACGTGGTCGGTCGCGTTCCTTCAAATTAACATGGTCGATCACGTTCTCTTTTTAATATGGTCGAGTCATGTCTCATAAAATTAGAGCGAGTTAGTCGTATTTGTTCAAATCAACATAGTCGATCACGTTCTCTTTTAACATGGTAAGTCATGTCTTACCAATTCAAAGCGGTCGATCGCATCCGTTCAAGTTATCGTGGTCGATCATGTTCCTTTTTGGCATGGTCGGTCATGTCTCATGAAATCGAAGCGGTCGGGCGTGTCCGTTCAAATTAACGTGGTCAATCACATTCTCTTTTGACATAGTTAGTCATGTCTTACCAATTCGGAGTGGTCGGTCGCATCTATTCAAGTTCATGTTCTCTTGACATGGTTACTCATGTCTCACAAAATCGGAGCGGTCAGTTGCATCCGTTCAAATTATTGTGGTTAGTCACGTTCTCTTTTAACATGATCGGTTATGTCTTACTAATTTGGAGCGATCGATCATGCCCGGTCAAATCATCATGGTTAGTCACGATCTTTTTGACATGGGTAGTCATGTCTTATAAAGTCGAGGTAGTCGGATGCACTCTCTCAAATTAATACATCAAAAGAAACCAAGGACCAAACCGATATTTAGCCCACCCCATGCGTTTTTTATACCTAACACTATTCATCCTTACAAGGCGGACGGCAGTCGTCGGACAAAATCGCGGACCAAAGCTCCCATGCCGACTCCCTATCGTCGACTACTAACCAACTCGCTCTCTCCCTATCGCCCGCACCCCTACACACCAGCCCCCTCACCTATAGCTCCACCATAGCCCTCTCGCCCCTCACCTATAGCCATCACCACACCAAGCACCCTTCTCCCTTACAACGACCTCACACAGGCACCATAGCCCAAGCCTCACTCGCGCGCCTAGCTTGTCCTCCATTGCCTCACACACACCGTCTCTCAAGCTGGTACCCATAAACACGCCTATAGCCCCTTCAAGCCTACCTCACGCCCGCACCAGCCTTGCTTGAACTCTCCCTTTCACCTCACACACCAACATCCTACCCTCCTCCATAAACACACCCAATACCGCCCAAAAATAGCCCCGTGAACAACTTCACTATCGCCCCCTTTTAGCTGACTTCTCCCTCATCCAAAATAGCCATAAAATACTCCTAAGGTAGCTTTAGATTAGCCCCAAAACACCCTCAAAAGTAGCCCCAAAATCAGCCCCAAAACCAACCCTAAACGAGACTTGAAAAACCTACCAAAACCCCAAAAATCAGCCCTATAACCATTACCAAGCAGCCCCTAAAAACCTTTACAGAGCAACCCCTTTAGATGGCCTATTTAAAACAAAAAACCACCCCTAAAAAGATGTCCAAATAAGATTTAAAATAGTGCAAAAAACTCCCAAAAACAGCCACCAAGACGACCCACAAAACTCGCCTCAAAACGAACCTCTTCCACACTTCTTTGGAGCTCTTGAAAAAGAAGAAATAAGAAAAAAAAATTTTAAGAGACTAAGATGGTTTTTTTATTGTGTTGGATTATATTAGTAGGAACAACATTGTAGACTATATATATTTAGGTTTTGACAAGAAAATACAACAAGAAAGTCATTTTGGATTTTTAGGAAATCTTGCAAGATTTTAGGAACCCCTGTAAATTTTTCGAGTAACATTTGGAGTAGTTGCACAAGCAACGGAGGAACTTTTAGAAAATTACTCTCCATTCTCGGCTAACCGAACAATCAGTTTTCATTGAGATTGAAGAGAGTACAACCGATTTTGTTTTGGACACCGAAGTTTCGCAGCTCTTGGGTAAAACTCTAAAACTATTGCATATTTTCTAAAAAAAATGAAAAATGATTAAAAATGATTGGACTATTGGTTTGCATGAATGAAGTCGTTGCATTTTCTTTGAATAGACATAGTCTAAATGTGATTAAAATAAGCATTGCTGTACGTAGCCGTTATCAAAAGAAAAATTAAGTTGCTTTCCAGTTTGCATGCTTAGTTGTTCAAATGTGAAGTCTTGTGATTTAATTGTCTATCCATGATTGATTGTCACCAAAATGAAGTCATCGGTGGTTTCATATTTATGTGACGAAGCCGTCGAAGGGCTTCGAGCAATTTTATCAATTTCTATGCTCGATTCCTATTTTGTAATGCATGTTTTCCTAGCTTTTTTGCTTTCGACCTATGTTACCTTTTTTCATTTTTCTCGATTTATTTCATCAAAACAAAGCCGTTAGTGGCCTCAAAAATAGTTTTTTATTTAATGTCCGTCTTGTCGGCAATGAAGCCATCGGTGACTTCCCACTTATGTGACGAAGTTGTCGGCGGCTCTAAATAATTATCTTCTCCTCACTGGAGTGATATGAAGTTGTCAATGACTTCTCACTTTTTTGTCGAAGTTGTCGATAACTTCTTAAATGCGTGACTCGAAGTCGTCGGTGGCTTCCCACTTGTATGAGCGAAGTCATCGGTGACTCATAGCTCATGCCAATAAAAGGCTATTTATCTTTAGAAACTTTTCTATTTTCAATAATAGGTCATGTTCACTAATGACTAGTCGAAATTCTCATTTTTTACCTATTTTCCATTTAGGTAGGACATATTGGCCTTGGACCGGCCTGAACGTCCAAACTACCCCGTTTTATATCCAAGCCATCCTATCTCATATTTTTACAAGATAAACTCATTTAATAGGCATAAAAGCATAACATGATAAAAAGTAGATTTTTTCCATTCATAGACAAACGATGCAACCTACCTTAGGTAGGACGGGATAGTGGTGATGACATGTCTTCTCCATACGTAATCGACCCCTTATTCATATATCCATGTAGACTAATATGTTTAGGGTTTCCTAGTTCTCCTCGATTAGCTAGGTGGCGACTCTTTTGATTCGGTCCCTCCTCTCGCAATGGTCGACACCGACACCAAATATCATTTCCCTAAAAATTGATTTAAGGACCTAATTCAACCGTAAAAGTCACATGAATAGTAATAATTGAAAATAAAAAAAATTAAAACTATAAATTATGCAAAATAGAGTAAAAAATAAAAATATATTGAATAACTAATAATTGACAACTTCAATACATAAAAACAACAAGAATAAAAAAAAGTTGATCGGATGCAATTCTCTAGCAATGGCACCAATTTCTCCATTTGTCCTATACGAAATGTCGTTTCCCTAAAATGTTATATAGGGTGCATCACCTAATTCAACCATAAAGTCATCATGAATAGTAACAATTGAACATAAATAAGAAAAAATAAAACTATAAAGTACATAAAAGATAGTAAAAAATTACTATCTATTGAATACCTAATAATAAAATTAACAACTCAAATGCTTAAAAATTAAGAATAAAAAAAATAATCGGACACACTCCTTAAGCCATGGCACTAATTTTGGTAGCATCCTAAATACTCCACTAGTCCCGTGCAAAATGTCGTTTTCCTAAAAAATTGATTTAGGGTGCGTCACCTAATTGAACCGTAAACGTCACCATGAATAGTAATAATTAAAATTAAAAAAAATTATAACTATAAATTACATAAAAGCTAGTAAAAAAAATAGAATCTATTGATAATAAAATTAACAACTTAGACACAAAAATAACCAAAATAAAAAAAATGATTAGACACAATTCACTAACAACGAAGCCGATTTTGGTAATGTGTCGAATACGCTACTAGTGCTATGCAAAATGTCATTTCCCTAAAAACTTATTTAGGGTACATCTCATAATTCAATCACAAAAGTCCCTATTGATAGTAATAGTAAAAAAAAATTATATCTATAAATTATGCAAAAGATAGTAAAAAAAATTAGAATTTATTGATAAACTAATAATAAAATTGACAACTCAAACACATAAAAATGACCGAGTAAAAAAGAAATATTTTGGTCGTAATTCCTTGGTAACGACCTCAATTTTTGTATCGTGTTGAATGCTCAAATAGTCCTAAACAAAATGTCATTTTCATGAAAATTAATTTAGGGTGTGTCACCTAATTCCACCATAAAATTCACCATAAATGGTCAAAGTCTAAAATCAAACAAAATTAAAATTACAAATTATGGAAAAGATAGTAAAAAAGAAAAATTTAATGAATAACCAATAATAAAATTAACGACTTAAACCCATAAAAAATGACCGAAAAAAAATTGATCAGCCATAATTCCCTTGCAATGACAACAATTTTAGTTATGTGCTGAATGATCTTTTATTCTAGTACAAAATTTTATTTTCATAAAAAATAATTTAGGGTGTGTCACCTCATTCAACTACAAAAGTCATTTTTGAATGCTAACAACTGAAATTTAAAACAAAATTAAAAAACAAAATATGTAAAAGATAGTAAAAAAATAAAATCTATTGAATAACTAATAATAAAATTGGCAACATAAACACATAAGATAAAAAAATAAAAAGAAAAATCGATCAAACGTAATCCCCCATCAACGACATCAATTTTGATATCATCTCGAATGCTCCACTAGTCCCATGCAAAGTGCCATTTCTCTAAAAAATTGATTTAGAATGCATCACCTATTTCGACTCTAAAAGTCATCATGAATAGTAACAACTAAAAACTAAAAAATTATACCAAAAGGTTACACAAAAGATAGTGAAAAAATCAGAATATATTGAATAACTAATAATAAAATTGATCACTTAAAATCATAAAAAAACAAAAAATTATTGATTAGACATAATTTCCTAGCATTGGTGCCAATTTTGGCGAGTGTGCCTAATGCTCTATTAGTCTTGTGCAAAATGTCTTTTCCCTAAAGGTGGATTTAGAGTGGGTCACGTAATTCAACCACAAATGTCATCATGTAAAGTAATAGCTAAAAATAAAATAAAATAAAATAAAATAACAAATTACTCAAATGTCATCGTGAAAAGTAATAGCTAAAAATCATAAAATCTAAATGCATTGAATAACTAATAACAAAAATGACAACTTAAGCATATAAAAAAACAAAATAAAAATTGATTGGTCGGACACATTCCCCTAGCATCAATGCCAAAGTTGATAGCATGCTTAATGCTCTATAAGTCCTGTGCAAAATGTCATTTTCCAAAAAATTGATTTTGGGTGCATCAACTATTCAACTCCAAATGTCACTATGAAAAATAATTGCTAAGAATTAGATAAAATTAAAACTAAAAATTATAGAAAAGATAGTAAAAAATTATATATATTGAATAACTTATAATAAAATTGAAAACATAAACAAACACAAAAACATTGAATAAAAAAATAGATCAAACACAATTCCATAACAACAATGCCAATTTTAATACTATGTTGAATACTACACTAGTCCCGTGCAAATTGTCATTTCTCTAAAAATTGATTTAGGGTGGATCACCCAATTCAACTATAAAAGTTGTTTTGAATAGTAATAGAAAAAAAAACTTAAAGTACAAATTATCCAAAAGGTAGTAAACAATCAAAATCTATTGCCAAATTAATGATAAAACTGACAACTTAAACACATAAAAACTAGTAGAATAAAAAATAATTGATCGGACGTAATTTCTTATCAATGGTGTCAATTTTGGTAGCATATCAAATGCTCCACTAGTCTTGTCCAGGATGTCATTTCCCAAAAAATTGATTTAGGGCGTGTCACCTAATTCAATCACAAAGGTTATCATGAATAGTAATAGCCAAAAATTGAAACTATAAATTATTAAAAAGATAGTAAAAAATCAGAATTTATTGAATAACTAATAATAAAATTGACAACTTAAACACATAAAGTCAACCAAAATAAAAAAAATTGGTCGGATGAAATTTCTCAACAATGGCACCAATTTTGGCGGTATGCTCGAATGCTCTACTAGTCCCGTACAAAAGGTTGTTCCATAAAAATTGATTTAGGATGCATCACCTAATTCAACCGTACAAGTCACAATGAATAGTAACAATCAAGCTTAAAAAAAAAAAAACTACGAATTACGCAAAAGAAAGTAAAAAATCAAAATTTATTGAATAACTAATAAAAAAGTTGATCAAATGCAATTACCCGATAACAACACCAATTTTCATAGCGTACCTAATGCTCCACTAGTTCTATGCGTCATTTTCATAAAAATTGATTTAGCATGCGTCGCCTAATGCAATAGCAAAATTCATTGCAAATAGTAATAGCCAAAAATTGACAATAATTAAAACTATAAATTGTGTAAAAGATAGTAAAAAAAAATCATAATCTATTGAATAACTAATAAAAAATTGGCAATCTAACGATATAAAAAAAACTAGAATAAATAAATTGATCAGATGTAATTACCCGATAACAATGCCAATTTTAGTAGCATGTTGAATGCTCCACTACTCCTGTGCAAAATGTTGTTTTCCTAAAAATTATTTTGGGTGCGCCACCTAATTCAATTGTAAAATTCACTGCAAATTGTAATAATAAAAAATAAAAAAGATATTAACACTACAAATTATGTAACGAGATAGTAAAAAATTAGAATCTATTGAATAACAAATAATAAAATTGACAACTTAAAGACCTAAAAACAACCGAGAGAAGAAAAATTGATCACACGTTATTCTACTACAATGAAGCTAATTTTGGTAGCTTTTTGAGTGCTCCCCTACTCTGGTCTAAATTTTTGTTTCCCTAAAATTTGATTTAGGGTGCATCACCATATTCAATTGCAAAATTCACCATGAATAGTAATAACTAAAAAAAAATATTTAAACTACAAATCATGTAAAAGATAGTAAAAAATCGGAATATATTAAAGAACTAATAATAAAATTCACAAGTTAAGTACGTATAAACAACCTCAAGATAAAAAATATTGAATGCAATTCTCCAATAATGATGCTAATTTTGGTTGCGTTAGGAATGCTCCATTATTCCAAAGAGAAACGATGTTTTGCTAAAAACCGATTTTAGGTACATCACTTAATTCAACAACAAAAGTCATCATGAATAGCAACGACTAAAAATCAAAGAATTTAGGCTACAAATTACGTTAAAGATAGTAAATAATCAAAATTGATTGAATAACTAGAAATGGAATTGACAACTTAAATGCATAAAAACTACTAGAATAAAAAAAATTGGTCGGATGCAATTCCTTGACAACGACGCCAATTTGGGTAGCATGTCGAATGCTCCCGGTAATCCAATGCAAAATGTCGTTTTCTTAAAAATTCACTTAGGGTGTGTCACCTAATTCAACTACAAAAGTCACTATGAATAGTAACGAGTTGAAAAAAAAAATTTAAACCGCAAATTATGCAAAAGATAGTAAAAAATCAAAAGCTATATAATAACTAAAAATAAAATTGGCAACTAAAACATATAAAATTGATCAAACACAATTCCCCAACAATGATGCCAATTTTTGTAGAGTGCTCGAATGCTCCACTAATACTATGCAAAACGTTGTTTTCCTAAAAGATGATTTAGTGTGCACACCTAATTCAATCGCAAAAGTCAACATGAATAGTAAAGTCCAAAAGAAAAAAATTACAAATAAAAATTATGCTAAAGATAGTATAAAATCTAAATCTAGCGAATAATAATAACATTGAAAAATTAAACACATAAAAATAATAAATAAAAAAATTGATCGGATGTAATTACTCGACAACGATGCCAATTTTTGTAGCATATCGAATGCTCCACTAGTCCTATGCAAAATGTTGTTTCCTTAAAAATTGATATAGGGTGTGTCACCAAATGAAACCAAAAAAGTAACCTAGAATAGTAATCGCCAAGACTAGAAAAAAAAATTCAACTTATGTAAAAGATAGTAAAAAATCAGAATCTATTAAACTAATAATAAAATTGACAACTTAAAAAAAAAAAAGACTAGAATGAAAAGAAAATTGATCGGATGCAATTTCCTAGCAATCGCGCCAATTTTGGTACCGTGCTCGAATGCTCCACTAGTGCTTTGCAAAATGTCATTTCCCTAAAAAATGATTTAGGATGATTCATTTAATTCAACCGCGAAGTCTTCATGAATACTAATAGTTAAAGACTGAAAAAAAAATTGAAACAACAAATTATGCAAAAGATAGTAAAACATTAGAATTTATTGAATAACTAATAGTAAAATTGACGAACTTAAACATTTTTTTTTAGAGAACGAGGTCGGTACCCTAGTAATTATTGATAAAACGTGGCTGAAAACAAGGGAGGAAAAACTAGCACAACCCAACAATCTGGGAGGACAAAGAAACCTAAACCCCTTAAAAATTAAGAAAGTTTCCTTAAAATTACAATAGAAAGCCTTAAAAAGAAAAATTACAAGTAGAAGCCATGTAACTAATAATATATTAAATAATAAAGCTAGGAAGCCTATAAGAATGCATAGTTAAAAATTACAAGAAAAATTTATCTCCTATATCTAGCTAAACCAAAGCTATCTCCTCAAAATGTCATACGAACGGATAAAGGCGATGACAATAGCTACATGATAAAGTTCTTGCGTTCAATACTTACAAGCACAATCTGCTAGATGATTAGCTACAAAATTTCCTTGGCTATAAACATGTAGTAACATACAAGCAAAAGTTTTCATTTGTGAAGAGGATACACCGGATGCCATAGGACCGCCTATACACCGAAATAGAATCCACCACTAGCTTTGATTCAAGCTCCATATAATTCACGAGTATATTGTTACCCCTACAAAGCTTTAATCCATCCAAGTAAAGTGCATACTTCTCCCTTGTTCTTATTACCAAAACTATAAAATGATGGAAAGCGAAGACAAAGTTGGCGAGCCCATGTCTTACCACAACACCACCCGTGTAGACTCCACTCCTAGCATAACCATCACCATTAAGTTTAAACTCATATGCGAGTGGGGAACACTAAGAGATCCATTTTCCTTTAGGAAAGGAAGGAGTAACCATAGTTATATTTAGAGCTTGGAAGCTAACTTAATCATGAAAGTTGAGATGTGATTTTGGAGTGAATAACGACTGAAGTTCATGGAGCCATTTCTCATACCCTAAAAATGATAGCAAATGGATGCAGACACTATTCCATTGAAAATTATTTTGCTTCGGCTTTTTAGATTTCCCAAAGAGAACAATGAAACACCACCATTTTCAAAAAGATTTTTCTTTTATTTAAAAAACCAAGTCTTATAGCCAAGTACCCACAAAACCTTACATGCTATGCCTCGATTGTGCAATTATTAAGCATGGAGCCAAAATGATACTAACCGTGGTTAAAATATCACCATGCAAAAAGAGATGAGTAATCAACTCCAAGGAAGGAGTTTTATAGCAATGACAACATGAAGGTATCACCACACCATATCACTATACATTAAAGTCAACCACCATACCACCATTGATAATCTTCCAAGATAAGGCTACTTATTGAACTTGTATCCTTTATTCCAAAAGTATTTCCACCACTCAAAATGAGAGTCGAGTAGACCTCGGGTGTTGTCAAAAGATAGCGAGTACTAAAATCTCTAGTCGTTGATAGCGTCAAGATTAGTTTGTCTAGTTCATTAGGCTGAATACAAATAACAAGAATAGAGTCATGCACCATGGGAGGAAGAGAAGACAAGATAATAGGTTTTCTCATCACTTCTTTCATATGATATACTTCAAATGTCCCAAATCTACATTACACCAACTCACCAATGAGATAGACCCCTCACCCACTAACCATTTGCAATCGTTTAGAAGGAATGAAATGCATGGCAATAAACTCCTCCAAACTAATGATCCTTTTATCTCTCTTGAAACAAGGAAACTTAGTATGCCATATTGAGAAGTTACAAAACGAACCATATGGATGAGCCTTGGAGGTAAGCCCATGATAATTTACCCTTTATAGGTAGCATTGCTTCTCGTAAATTCTTTATATTAAGACCTCCTTTGGCATAAGGTTTAGAGATTTTTTCCCAAGTAATTCAATGATTCCTCCCTTCGACCTAGCGCTAATAAAAAAAACTAGAAATATGGCTCTAGATATGCATGATAATCTTCTTTAGGACTAACATGATTGCCATTATATATATAGGAAAAGAAGAAAGGGCCGACTAAATCAAAGTTAGCTTACCTTCCGTTGAAAGAAATTTCCTTTTCCAACTTGCTAATTTGTCGTTAATCTATTCTTCGAACAAATGAAAGTAGAACGAGTTTAGCTCAACCCTTAAAGAAAGGAATCTCCAAATAAAGTATGAAAGGCCTTGAATGCCCAAAACCTATCCATCGTGGTAGAAGTGTAATGCAATTCATAAAAAGTTTATTACTATAGAGAAAACCACTCTTGCCAATATTAATTAATCCGCCACTACATGGACAATATTGGTTTAGGAGGCACGTAATATTATCAATAAAGTTTTTTAACTCATTATTGAATAAAAGCATATCATTTGTAAAAAGTAAGTGGTTGACATTAATCGTATCCGAACTTATGCGATATGGAAGAATTCGACCTAAAGCAACTCGAGAGTTTAAGTTCCTACTTAAAACATCTTGAGTAAGGATGAAAGAGCCAATGATAGTGGGTCCTTTTGATGGATAGCTCTACTCGACTTAAAAATCCCAAATGATCTACAATTTAGCACTACAAAATACCAGTAATTAGCTAGACAACGATGGATAAGAGAGCACCAATCCTTAGACAAGCCAAATTTTTGCATTGTTTTCACCCAAAAAGACCACTCCAACCTATCATGTGCCTTCATCATGTCAACCTTAAAAAAAAAAATTCCTCTAAAATTTTTCCTATCAATTTCCTACAATAGTTTATGACCCAAGGCTATATTTTTATGAATTAATCTCCTTTTAACAAAGTCAAATTATTCATCCGATATATTGTGAGGTAAAGCAATGCCCGATCTCTAAGTTAAAATCTAGAAAAAAAATTTGTAAGCAACGTTACATAAGCTAGTTTATAAATCACTATAAGAAGAAGGGTTTTTACGAGTTTGGTATTAACACCATAGTTGTTGCGAGTTAGTGATGTCGAATTGCTCCTCCTTTGAACACATCCTAAACCATTTTCATCGGATAAAGGCTAATAATATCCCAACATGACAAGTAAAAGGTGTTAACGAAACCATCGGGACCTAGAATACTAGAGGGGTTTATATAAAAAATCGTCCGTTTGATCTCTAAAATATATGGGATTTCTATAAGCATATTATTATGTTCGATGTAACTAATGTCGGAAAAACCTCAAGGAGCTCATCCAAGATAATAACAAGATTAGTTTATAGAAGTTCTTGAAAATAAGTAACTACACCATTTTCCGGAAGTACATCATCGATACAAGTTACACCATTGATTTTTAGGGAGAACTTACAATGTTTTTGATGGTTTTGAATGTTGGCATGAAAAAAGGAATGATTTTTATCCCCCATTTATAGCTAATTAACTCCAGCTATTTTCCTAAAGAAAATTTCTTTTTGACGAACCACTAAAGATAAATTAGCTTTAGCTACTACCAATCTGTGCAAAGAATCATCCATAGTAGTAGCAATCAATTCAACCTCTTTATAAATAACCTCATCCTCAACTTTAAAGAGTTATATGTGGATGTTGCCATAAACCTCATAATTTTAAGTGCACGAGCTCGACGTAGCTTTTTTAGGTTTAAGTTGGAAGGGTTGTGAAAGCATTTTAAGTATCATGTCAATACCAATGTTGTTTCACCAACTAAAAAACCCATCATGATAAGGCCTTAAGTAAATCTGATAGTTATGTGCCTCTTCTCCTTAAAAGATAACATTAAGGGGCGATGATTTAAGAAAACTTACGGTAGGTGGGTGCACTCTAACATTGTCTTATATGTCTAAAAAGAAACATGAAATAGACATCTATCCAATCTTTCCTAAATTCTTGTATTCACTGCATGGTTATTACTCCATGTATATATATTACCAACATAGCAATCATTTATCGGACCACCATAGAGAATGAACTAATTAAACTACTCCATAGCATTTGAATCGAGAGGGTGTCCATAGCTCTTTTGTTGGATGAAGTGATGATATTAAGTCACCATAAACAAGCCAAGGAATTGGGGCATTGATGTTCAACAAGTAAGACCATAAATCCTTATGAGCTACTTTATCATAGTTTCTATAAATATATATATAAGAAAGTAAGCATGTTCCAACCATGGGAATTGCTAGAAATGTCTACTATGATAGCTTGGCTACAAGAAGTGTGAAAGGAAACATTTATGTTTCTAGAAAGAATCTAGACATGAGTGCTTACAAGTTTATTATAGAAATAAAAATCAAATTTCAAGAACCTAGGTAGATCGTCAATTATCTCTCCCTATAGCTTTGGTTAAAAAATAACATGAAAGTGCACTTTATGAAGTCTTACCAAACAATTAAGATACTTTCTTTTATCTAGGTAGTTAATGCCTCTAGCATTCCATACCATGTAACTCATTAAGAAAGGGAAAGGAAAGTGTTACCTATGTGATCCCTTGATGATCTAGTGTGGCGCCATAAGGATGTCCCCACATAAAAGGCCTTCTTTGTTTTTGTATTATGATATTTTGGGATTTCAAAGGACTTCTCTTCAATGGAAATAGACTATGAAGTAATCAAATAATTTTAACTTTGTATTCATCCAATTTTGCATGTGCCAATATGGCAAACCACTTTATATTATCTCCATTGTTTAGTATTAACGGTAGTCTCCTGCTCCAACCAAATCTCTCTATGTAACGTCCCCTGTCTTAACGAGGTCTCTTCCTCCGTAAACGCCAATGCATATGCCATATCACGAGCAGCAGCAATCATGGCTCCTCATAGTAGCGACCAAGTTAAATACTATAACAATAGCTAAGACTTATCTCCGTAAATAGATAAACATTGTAAAGGTTCAAGAGTTCTACTCTATACACACATGTAAGCCTATAAATGGTAGAATTTCAATCTGGAATAATGTTGAGCAAAAACATGTTATACATTCTCTTCCTAAATTTCAATGCGGTATCGAGCATCTAAAGGCAAACGCGCCTGACTACTTTTTTTTTAATGACGAGTCTTCGCTTTTCCTCTCCATGGCCTCTTCCCCTAGTACACCCTCTTCCATTGCTACACCACTCCAAAAATCACCCAATCCACTCCCAATCACTCAACTTACTCATGCCCATCACTTCATCTCTTTGAAACTTACCACCACCAATTTCCTACTTTGACATGTTCAAATGAAGCCCTTTTTAATTGGATAAGGCTTGTTTAGCTTCATTGATGGATCCACTCCCCGCCCCTCAAGCCAAATACTTTCTGAAACTAGTATCCCTCAACAAAAATCCATCCTACCTTGCTTGGATCTAGCAAGATCAATCCTTGATGAGCACACTCATTTCATCCCTTTCTATCGAAGTTCTTTCGATGATCATTGATTGCACTACTTCTAAAGAAGTATGGTACGTCCTTGAAAAGGCTCTTGTTTCTCCTTCTAATACATCCATTATGACCTTACACCTAGCTTTGTAGAAACTCCACCAAGACCCTACAAAACCTGTCTCTCAATACCTATAGCATGCAAAATCATACAATGATGAACTCTCTGCTGCTTGGTCGACCTCTTTCGGCCATTGATTGGCTTCCATCTAAAAGACTTAAGCCTTATGGTGGGTGGCCGCTTCTCAACTTTATATATTATTTATTATTGGTTTAACTATTTAATATGGGATATGTTCTAACACTCCACCTCACTTGCAGCCTATCTTTTTAGGGTCACGTCAAGTGGCTTGGGCTCCGGGATCTTTGTTGGGTCGTTAGGCCTCTTTGAGGCTCTAATACTATATTAGAATTAGATAGTTAAGATTGGCTTCCATCTAAAAGACTTAAGCCTTGTGGTGGGTGGCCCCTTCTTAACTTTATATATTATTTATTATTAGTTTAACTATTTAATGTGCGATATGTTCTAACATTTAGAGACCCCGCTTTTGGAGATAAACAAGCTTCTTCCTTGGCTACTGCAAAAGAGACATATTTGTTGTACATGGGTCCTGGATCGGTGGAGGGAGTCCCTAACAAGGCAAGTTTTTTATCGAATTTAGGTAAGGAATGTAACACGAGTTCACTTCATCTCGTGTGGTTAAAATATGCTTATCTTTCCGAGGTATCATCATCACTAGAAGTGAGGACAACCAACCCTACGAGAGGTGAGTTCATTTCTCCAGTGAGGTTTTAATGTTTCCTATTTTCTTGTTATTAATGTGAGATTTATGATGCATTTATGATGCATTATCGAATGTAAAGAAGGCTCAAAAGCTACCTATTTTCCTTTTTTGGCCAAAACATCATAGATGGGTTTGTTCTAATTACTATAGTAATTGTCTTGTTGGAAGGTGGTTTAATATATTGGTGCAAAACTACAAGGGGCATAATTAGTGGGTTTTCATTTCCTACATTGCAACCGATGATGTCCACGAATATAATAGTGAGTGTAAAATGCTAGATTCCCTTCATAAACAATTTTTACTAAAAACCTTTATTTCTATCAGTACCTACAAATATCTAGATCTCCTCCAAAAGTTGAAAGGAAAGGTCCAACTCCACACAAACTCGTGCATAAGTTAGATGCGAGACATGTAGAGTCCTATCATCTACCTTCAAGAACATTCCAAAAGATTTCACAATTTCCTTGAGATTACCCTTCAAAAAAAAAAAAAAAAATAGAAGATAGGGGAGGTGTATCCATACAACCATTAGTGATGATTCTTTACTAGGGTGATAATTTAGATCCCACTTGAAAAGTCAAAAAGGAGAAGATTGTATTTCATGGCACTCAACTGACCATGCCTTTGTAAAATCTTCGTAGAAAAGTTTAAATGAAGGCATGTTAGGGTCCTAATAACCCCATAATAGGATCGGTTTCTAAGCCCTAGTGTTGAATAATACTATCCGTAATGACATTGATAGGTGTCCGGGTTCCTACAAATTTTGTCTGTAAGAGTATGCATGAAAAAATTCTTAACTTTCTAGGTTTTTATGAGGAAAAGCTAACTCGTTGGTTTCCTACCCACTAAAGTGTACGGTCGTGGAGCAATGTTGAGATCCATAAGAATACCATTATTTGTAGGCTTCATTGAATGTGTAACCGAGATAATATTTATGAAGGATACATGCAAGGTTCGAGTTAGGTTTCAAGCTAGGGTTGGATCAAAGTAGAGGGAAGGAGGAGGGGGAAGTAATTGGGGTTAGGGTGTTGATCGCCCATCGAACAAATGTTGGTCACCAATGTGATTCCCTTGCCATTGATGGCAAGTTAGAGGCTAGGGTTCTTGGTATTCTCAACTTAAACACTTAAAAGCAACCTAAATAAATCAAAAATGGATCAAACACAATTCCCCAGACAATGGCACCAATTTTGGTAACATGTCGAATGCTCTATTAGTACTCGTGCCAAATTTCATTTCCCTAAAAATTGATTTAGGGTGCATCACTAAATTCAACCACCAAAGTCATTGTGAAAACTAACAACTAAAAAATGAAAAAAAAATTAAACTATAAATTACATAAAAAATAATAAAAAATAGAATTTATTGAATAAAAGGCAATAAAATTCACAACTTAAACACATAAAAACAACCGAAATAGAAAAAAAAACTAATCGGATGTAATTTTGCTATAATGACGCTAATTTTGGTAGCATTTTGAATGCTCTACTAGTTATGTGCAAAATGTTGTTTTCCCGAAATTGATTTAGGGTGCATCACCAAATTGAACTGTAAAAGTCACGTTCAATGGTAATAGCCAAAAAAAAATTGAAAATACAAATTTGCAAATCATTGTAAATGATAAAAATTTATTTAAAAACTAATAATAAAATTGATAACTTAAACACATAAAAAAAACTAAAAAAAAATGATTGTATGTAATTTCTCGATAGTGGTGTCAATTTTGGTAGCATCACAAATGCTCCACTAGTCCTATCCAAACTATTGTTTCCCTAAAAATTGATTTTGGATGCATAAACTAATTCAATCGCAAAAGTCATCATGAATAGTAATAGTAAAAAAAAATACAAATGACACAAATGATGTTAAAAAATCTGAATCAATTGAATGACTAACAATAAAATTTACAATTTAAACACATAAAAACAACAAGAATAAAAAAAAATTGATCGGACACAATTTCCCAACAATGATGCCAACTTTGGTGGCATGTCGAATGCTCCATTAGTCTTGTGCAAAATGTAATTTTCAAAAAAAAAAAATAATTTAAGGTGTGCCACCTCCATAAAAGTCATCGTCAATAGAAATAGCAAAAAAATTATAAAAAATTAAAAGTACAAATTAAAAAAAAAGATAGAAAAATATCTAAATCAACTGAATAACTAATAATAAAATAGACAACTTAAACACATAAAAACAACAAGAATAAAAAAAAATTTGATCAAATGCAATTCTCCAACACCAACGACAATTTTGGTAGCATGTTGAATGCTCCACTAGTCCCGTGAAAAATATCATTTCCTAAAAATTGATTTAGGGTGTTCCACCTAATTCAACCACAAACGTCATCATGAATAGGAACAACCAAAAATTAAAAAATAAAAATAAAGCTATAATTGCATAATAGATCATAAAAAATCAAAATCTATTGAATAACTAATAATAAAATGGACAACTTAAGCACATAAAAGTAATGAGAATGAAAAAAATTTATCAAATGCAATTCTCCAATAGTAGTGCCAATTTTGATAGCACATCGAATGCTCTTCTAGTCCTACATAAAATGTCATTTCTCTAGAAATTGATTTAGGGTACGTCCCCTAATTAAACCTCAAAAGTTATAATGAATAGTAATATTCGAAATAAAAAAAATAAAAAATACAAATTACATGGAAGAAAGTAAAAATTAGAATCTATTGAATACCTAATAATAAACTTAACAACTTCAACACATCAAAATGACCAGAATAAAGAAAAATAGATCTAATGCAATTCTCCTACAATGTTGCCAATTTTGGTAGTGTTCCGAATGCTCCACTAGTCCTATGCATAATGTCATTTCCCTAAAAGCTGATTTAGGGAGCATCACATAATTGAATAACAAAAGTCACTATGAATAGTAACATCAAAAAATA